TGCAACCATTCGGATTCCGAGGCGGACACAAGGATCTTACTGCATCTGGCACATGTCGCAGAGCAGGGGCATACAACAGCCTATGTTCGCACGGTGGACAGCGATGTCGTGGTTTTGGCAATCCGGTTTTTCGAGACCCTCGGCCTATCAGAGCTCTGGGTGGGGTTCGGTACTGGTAAAAAGTACCGTGATATTCCAGTCCATACCATCGGCTCCAATCTCGGTCCTTCAAAGTCCTTGGCACTACCCCTCTTCCACAGCCTAACAGGATGTGACACGACTTCACAGTTTCTTGGATGTGGCAAGAAGACCGCCTGGGCAGCCTGGAAAAGCATGCCGGACCTCACCGACACACTAGTGGCTCTCACACGCGACCCTGACCTCTTCAGTCTGGTGTCTGTACATATGCAGCAGATCGAACGCTTCGTGGTACTCATGTACAGCAAGGGGTGTGGCGCAGCTGGTGTCAATGAGGCCAGGCATCGCCTCTTCACCACTGGAAGCAGATCACTGGAAAATATTCCACCTACCCAAGCAGCACTGTTCCAGCATGTGAAGCGAGCGTTACTACAGGCACATTTCTACTGGAGTCAGACCACCTCGGTCCAGCAAGAAATTCCTGACTTCAGTGAGTGGGGATGGCACAAAGATGGCACCAGTACATGGCAACCACTATGGACCACTCTCAGCGACGCTTCAGTGGCATGTGCCATTCTCTTGCACTGCGGCTGCCTCAAGGCATGCACAGGAAGGTGCAAATGCAACCGCGCCGGTGTCCGATGTACAGCCCATTGCAAATGCGAAGGTGGGTGCGTTAATAGCGAAGATGACCAGTAGTAATACTTTAGTCTAAATTACTTTAATAAAAATTGATTCCTGAATAATCTTTGTTTATTTTTTAGTAGTACACTGCTGAGCTTTGACCTTTGACCCCAAAATGTGGTCACTATGTCCTCAAATCGCCAAAATAAGATCAGAATCGGATTCTCAGAGGCCACAAATCCCTAAAAAGTGGTATTATGTCTAATTCTTAGTGTTTAATGTTTTTTACCTATAATTGACGTACGATTCACCTCTCGGTCAAGTGACCTCTATCGTGACCCTGACATGCAATATTGCCTCAAATCGTTCAAATAAGGTCAGATTCGGGTTACTCAACCCCGGAAACCGATAAAATGAGGTGCTGTTTGTATATATTGACAAAAAAACACTAAAAATGACATATTTGACCCAAAAATGACCTTTAGGGTGACCTTGAGGGGTGACCTTGACCTCAAATCACTGAAGTAAGATCAGAATCAGATTCCCAGACCTTGAAAACCCCTAAAAAGTGGTATTATTTATGATTATAGATCTTTTGGATGTTTAACTAGATTGCCCCCCCAACCCGGGTGGTGGCCATATTGGAAATTGCCAATATGGCGGCCCCGGGGGGCGCCCATTCCGGCGCCCGCCAGAAATCGAAAAAGTATGGTATGGGCAACATCTGGGCCAAATTTGGTGCTTTTGGAAGAATGTGAACCAAAATATCCCTAACACCCCTGACTATAACCCTTCTTCTTGTAGAATATATAGTGGTGTCAAGACAGAACTGTTATGCTGATTAATAGGATGTTAGGCCAAATGGGCAATTTCGAAGTCTTGGTAAATACAACCCCAACCACGAGGAATGATTGCTGCAACATATGTAAAATCAGCTAAGAGTTTCAGCTGTAAAATATGTTGAAAGAAGTATATAAACCTGATCTCACTGGATCAGGGACCGGTGGATTATTTTAATGTTAGCATAGACAAGTAGTAAGAACATTATAATAATTAGTTTGAGTACTCTCACATTTCTTAATACAACACAATTTTGTATCAATAAATAATACATTAATAATTAATAAATGTTACATTGATGAATCACTTTTCTACGTAATCTATTTGAAATCAATGCTTTGTGTACATCGTATTTTCTTATTTTGTGTTTTTAAGTCAAGATAGTGACATTAAACGTTCATGAATACTACAGATTATTGGTTTGCAGTCAGTAAAAGAGCTACGACAAATATACCCATGTTTTTCCATTTCAACAGTAGAGACGACTGGCATGTTTTTTTGGCACACCTAAGGTTGATTGGCAGGGCTGCTGCGTGCAAGCTGGCAGCTGGCTTTTTGGCAACATACAGCTAACACATGGGTCAATTGTGTTAGCATGCATGCCACATTTCCTCACTATGCTCTGATTAAAATCACATGCACTAACAGTACCTGCAAATGCCAGACCCGGTTCCTTTAACCACTATTAAATGTTTGTCATTACAATGTCGCTCAAACATGGCTTGCTTGGCATGAAGAACATTTCACCCAAGAAAATAAAATTACATATCATTATGCAAAAGCAACTTTTACTTGACTGAAATTTTAGCTCATGTCTACTTTATCCTGGAACTGCCTATGTACACTTCAAACGCACAGACACATAATCACGCACATACACATTATAAAAAATAATAGTTTGTGAACTGAAAATGAAAGTGGAACTCAATATCATATAAAATGTAATGAACTTTAAACTGAGCATCCGAATTGTGAGAGCAGTTGCAACGAGACTTCATAAATATTAGTATATCGCACCTTCATCAGAAAAGAAACTCTTTTCTGCTGCTCCAAATGTGAATCCAGGGAAAGAGCTTGGCTTTCCAACACCAAACCCTCCAAACGCTGACAGTGAGGCGGGTGCTTGGTCGTGAGTGAAATCTGGATGTCCAAATAGTGACCGAGTGGTGGAAACACTTTCTTCCATGCTGGTGCCACCGGACGGTAACTGAGTAGATGTTATGCTCTGCCCGAAGCTGGATCTAGCGAACGATGGGCCAGTTTTGCTAGGCAGTGTTGCAAACTTGTTTCCAAATGATAAGGGGTCTGATGCAACACCAACCTCTTTTGTCTGTGCTAAATTGAACGAAAATGAAGACAGACTGCTCGAACTCAGGCCTTTAACAGGAATGTCTGGGCTTGCACTGGTGTCTTTGGTGATTAACTCACCACCTTTATTGTGTTCCGTCATCAGTGCTCTGCTCCCTATCTCCAGTTTCCCGCCCTCACCTGCTATGTGCTGTTTGGCATCCTCAAAGGACTCACTGAAGGCCATTGCTATCTGCGGCGACTTGAAGCGAACAGCAAACTTCTCTGCCCGAGGTACGTTGTCGGCATGGTCAATCGCACACCACATCCATGAGCGTTCATCATGCTCCAAAAGTGCCATGTCAGCCTTCACGTAGTGGTTGCACGCAATAGTCAGTATGCGTTCGCGTCGCATCAGCACACGCACTGTGTGGAGTTGCTGATGCAGCAACAACTTGATGTCGCCGATACCACGTTCCTTCCACTCACCGTCCACATGACGAAAAAGCTTGGCCCGATGCGAAAACAGTAACTTCTCCTCCTCCTCCCCGGTCACGACCTCGACCTTATCGGGCAGTGGGATAAGCGGTTCAAAGTGAATGTGGTCACTCTCATTCTCACTATGGTAAAGCTCACTGTCATCCCGTCCCGGTGACTTGATCGGACTGCCTGGACTTTCAGGATTAGAGGCAGGCACGCTTGGCGACTGTACGCCACTGAACTTGAACTCAGGTGCACTAAGTGAGACGTTCGTAGTTCCGAAGACTGTGGAGCTCTCGTTAGACACCTGAACTGAGTCTTTCTGTGAAGTGGAGCTGATGGTTTGGGCATTCAATGCTTGGTAGGTAACATGACCCGGCTTATCTGTATCCAAGCTGTCTTTACTTGCGTCCCCAGCACCAATTGTGAACTTTACGTCGGACAAATTAAACTGGAACTCAGAGCTGGTTGCATTATTCTTTTCTTCTGTCATACCAAAAGCAAATGTAGGCAGTGCACTGTTCGAAGTAGAAGCTGGCCTATTTACATCCCTTACAAATGAGAAGCCGGATGCAGCTACGGATTTATTAAATGTAAATCCCACTCCTTCACCTGACACATTCACAACTGGCATGCCAGGGGTAGATGTGCTAGGGCTCATTCCACTATTTCCTACATCGAAAGTAAACCCATCGACTCCAACATGTCCACTGCTCACATCACTAGCTGGCTCGGAGGTTGCCTCGTGACTACCACCTGCTCTCGGTGCTTCACAAGCGACACACCATGTGGCAGCACGCGTGTTAGATACTGAACAAACATCACACATCCATGCCCCAGGTTTTGGTTTAAAGAGGTCTGTGAGTGGCTGCTGCAGTTTGTCTGCCTGGTGTGTCAATCCCTCTGCATCCGGTCTAGGCGTTTCACAAGCGATACAACGTTTTGAATCGGCAGAATTGTTTATGTAGCAAGCTGTGCATGTCCAAGAGCCTGGTTTTGGTTTGAATAGTTCAGCTAAGGACGGCTGGGAGGGATCATTTGTTTCGTTATCTAACACACCTTCATCTTCATTAGTGTTTACAGATTTTGTCGCCACCTTGAGGTTATTCTGGCACTGATAGAAAATGTCATTGAATTCGTGAGCGTGCTGTGCAGTCTTAAACTTTGCTGCATAAAACTCCTTCTTGCCCTTGTCTTCAGAATGGTCTATGCAGTGCCAACACCACTTTGTGTCCGAGTCATCCACAGGATTCAAAGTCATTTCTGGTGTGATATAGTGATTTGCACACAGCTTATGTACTTGTTCACGACGCATGATGACTCTGCAACGGCCATGCACTTTATGTTTGAGGATCTTCAGCTCGCCAATGCCACGCTCTTTCCATTCCTTTGCCTCAAGATCAAAGCGATATAGCTTCGCGCGCACACCAAACTGCTTTGACTCATCCTCTTCACCTGTTTTCACCTCGACGAGAGCTGGCAGGGGCATGACTGGGTGAAAGTCTCCTGTTGGCTCAAAGTCGCTAGTATGCTGATCGTCAGCAGCTGTAGGGGAAAACAGCTGGTTGCCTGCACCCGGAAATCCAGCAAAGCTCTCCGACTTCTGAAAGCCATGATCCGTCGTATCAGTGCCAAGCTTCGCTAGGGCCGCAAAGTCGAGGGTGGTATCAGCACCCAAGACAGGTGCTGGAAGATTCATGGTAGCCTGTCTGCCGTTATCCCCGTTTGCATTCGTATCATTTCCCATCGGAAACATGAAGCCTGCAAAGGGGCTAGGCTTCGGAGCAGTGTCCGATTTTGACTTCTCTGCTGACGGCTTGACACGGGGGCTGTCGACCTCCCCTTGTATCTTTGGTGGCGTTGAGAAACTGAACCCACCAAAGATTTTATTGGTATCATCATTTTCATGCTTGTCCCCATCACTAGCAGCATTGGTTCCACCTCCCTGCTCTCCTAGGACACTAGGTGAAGTGCCACCGGGAGAGCCTGTTCTTGCTGTGTCTGGCTGGGTTTTGTGGTATGAAAAGCCCTGCACAGCTGTAGGAAGTGTTGCAGGTGTAAGAACGTCGGCGTTCTTTGAATCAGAAACCTCCGATGCCTGCTGTGTGCTGAGCATAAACCCACTAGTTGTTAATACAGATGGCTTTGGGGCACTGATCACACCTAAAGGAACATTGCCAAACATGAGGCCACTTGTCACAGTTCCAGAAGCAGTTCTGCTGACTGCTGAGCCACAGCTGAAGCCAGTAGTCGTTATTGCACCAGCAGGGTTCACAATGGGCGTCCCTTGCATGATCGAACCAGCTATCTTGCCCGCCACTGGCATGCTGCCTGGCTTTGGTGTCATGCAAGCGATGCAACATGTCTTGTCAACTGAGTTGTGGATGTAGCAAACCTCACAGTTCCATGAACCAACCTTCGCTTTGAATTTATACCCAAAACCAGTTGAGGGTAGTACATCTTCTGGTAATGATGGTTTTGGTGATTCCGTTGGTTTCTTGAATACATGGAATTGAAGTATTTTATTTAGGACAGTAATCAGGTAGCAGCAATACACTTCCACACAAATTGTAACATAATAATTCACTGCTAATACAAATGTGTGAAACATTGTAAGCAGTGTGTACCTTTTACACTAAAATGAAACGCGCAACAAAAAGTAGAGTTCACACTGAAACCCTAAAAAATTACAAATGCATTTTAACTGATAACGAAAATGGATATTAAAACAAAGAATGTACAATACCTTATCAGATTTCACCTCGGTGAATTTAGCACAAATCTCAAATACTCGCTTGAACTCGAGAGCAATTTCTGGAGTCTTGAATCGGATGCAAAAATGCTCATTCTGTGGCTGCTCCTCACTAAAGTCTTGCGCGTACCACACCCATGCCTTCCCAGTGCCAGCCATGGCCGAAAGTGATGCTCCAGGCAAAATGTTATGGTTAGCACACACCTTTAAGACCTGCAATCAGAACAAAAGGCCATCCTACTGACAACATGCCTCTATATCTTCCATCTTCCCCATACTAAGTCAAGGCACATAAATTTAAGCCACTATTGAGGACGGCCCCATGAACACGTGACTGAGGCCGCGGCATTACACAGCCTCATTCGAGCTATTGTTCAAATTAGCTCAAAATGTAAACAAAAAGCCATATCGTAGTCCTGCCACCATCTTGAAACGTCATCAGGTTAAATGACAAGGGAGATAAACAAATGCTGCTCGTAGCATTTAGTTATATAGAAATGTGATGCTCTGCGCAAAATTCAGTAGTTTTATTATAGTATCGCGTTAGATTAACGTAAATCAATATGAGTGACGAAGTATTAACACTATATACAGATTGTAGAATCCTGGTCTGTGACGGTTTTGAAGGAGTTTGTGAGGAAACACAGGGCTACATGTGACAGGGACAAAGTAAGAACTTGCTGCCAGGGCATACGTAGCAAATAACTTTAAACAACCTCGTCTATCTACCTATGAAGAAGTTTCCAAACAGAAGCACGGGCACATTAAGGAGCTTCTAAAGACCCCCGATGGTGATATGCCCCATCCTGACTCTTTGAAAAGTGGATGGTTGGATGAAGAGGGAATGTTTGTGGCCTCTGACCTAGCTAAGCTCTAGTAATATAGGTTATAGTACTAGCACTACCTCCGACCATGATCCAGAACATTCAACATTGCTGTTTTTAGACTACTCACCTGCTAGAGAGCACAGGTTTACAGAAAGACTGTAAGAGTACAATTAAGGAGCAAAAAGCTTTGTTATTTTGCCAGTAATTTTAATATGTAACTTTTGTATAACCCCATAATGGCTACATCAAAGTACTGTTTCCTGAGAGCGAATATCTGTCCATCCCAAGGGGTTACCACACAACACTTGGAAGCTGATCGATAAGCAGATACGAGTTATTTCAAGTGCTTGCTGCATGCAGTTGTTTTGCTGGACATGTTAAAATGTATCATATCTATAGTTTATAATATAATTTTAACTTTGGAACACTTTTGAACTCATTTCGTAATAAAACAGCTAATATGAAACTTACAAATATTAATTCATGGAAAGGATGCGTTTCCATGAAATACTATGGCTTATTGCTAAAAGAATGATACATATGTTAGAACCCTGGACAAAGGTTTCAGACTCCCATTTTTTTGGTTATAATATGGTATTTTTTACATAAACCATATCACTGTAATACAGTCTGTATTATCTCCAGCATGTCAATATTTATTAGGTGCTTTTATGTAATGACTAATGTATAGAAAAAGAAAATAATTATATACTATTCTATAACACCTGTGTTGTAAATCACTTCAGCCTTGAGGGAACTTGCAACCACATGGCTGCTATGTTGCTCAAGGTCGACTTTTGTTGGAAACATCAGAGACATGCATTGGGAAACAGCCAGGAAAACATTCTCTCACTGTCATTCCACTGCCTGTCAAGGTTATGCAAATTGCGCAAATATACTTTCACCAAATCAGTTTGGATTTAAAAAAAATCATTCTACAGTCTTGGCAATTTCTGAAATTCACGACACTCTTCTTGAATCTCTAGGTGACTGCCAGCAAAATTACTTGCGCGATATTTCCTGATCTTTCAAAGGCATTTGATACTGTGTAGCATGACATACTTTTATATAAACTTGAACACTACAGATCAATCAGCTCTAGAACATGTTTAAACGCTATCTTACTAACAGGACACTATATACTGCAATTGGGGACCTTCGCTCATCTATTCTTGAAGTGACATGAGGTGGTCCACAAGGATCGATGCTAGGTACACTTTTGTTCTTGGTCTATATAAATGATATCCCATCTAAAACTATGTGTGTTACAAGACTGTTCGCGGATGACAAATACAATACATACATCCAACTCAGACAATACATAGATACTACAACTCTTACTTCTGTATATTAATGATTATGTGCTTGCCTACCCCTAGTTACAATATGTGATCCTAACATAGGGAATATATAAAATATATTTATATATATAATTATAATATATAAAATCAGTATTATACCCAGCTGTTCAATTACCAAACAAAATAGTAAAATGCATCAAGTATGCTAAGCGTATAGATCATGCCACCCCAGTGTATAGAGAACTAAGTTACTGATGTTGATAACATCTATAACACCAAACTGGCAAAATTTCGATACGGTTTCTGTTCCGTCAGTTTGACTCAGTTAAATAATCTACACTTGCGCATGTAGAGCAGGTGCGCTTTGTGAACTCTTTTGTGATTGGAGCTAGGGTTAGGGTTAGGGTTAGGGTTAGGGTTAGGGTTAGGGTTGGGTTAGGGATAGGCCGATAGGGTGACTGTTTGTACTTGTTTGTGGGACTGCCGTACCCGTAGCCTTGGGACATTAAGATACAGCTGCAGCGCATGCGTAGTGTGACTGCCGTACCCGTAGCCTCGAGACATTAAGATACGGCTGCAGCGCATGCGTAGTGTGACTGCCGTACCCGTAGCCTCGAGACATTAAGATACGGCTGTTGTACCAGTAGCCTCTGCGTATAAACAACATGTATTAATTGTTTGAACTTCTTGTGTATACACCAGCACGGCGGCTATGATATTTAGAGTGGAGGGTGGCGTGATTTTTTTTCCTAGGTCAATCAAGAACATAGGGCTCTAGTGAGCGCTGCTATTGGTTGAGCTTGTTTCTTCGCTCAATGACGTCACAGTGTCGTCATATTCATAGCACATCCCAAATTCATAATTCCAATATCACCCAATAGCCGAGCGAGTACAGCACGCAATTCAAGGCTGAAAGGTCAGTGGATCGAATCCCATCCTTTTTTTAATTATTTTCCTGTTTTCTGGATTTTTCTATCTTTATCCGTTTAACCATTTTTTTCCAATTAACGCAAGATCTATAAATATCTTCAATAACTTCGTATACGTACTTCAATCCACGGGTGCCTTTCTGCTTACAGAAACATTTCTAAAAATAACTATGCTCATTTGGGATATTTTTGCAATGTATGTGTTGATACAGAAGCTAAACGCTTAGATTTTCAAGTATTTTCCGCAGCGCGCGCCGAGGCAATGTTTATCCCCCTTATCATTTGACCTGATGACGTTTCAATATGGCAGCGGGACTTTACGATCTCACATAATGTAACAAAATGTTCTCTAAACAATGAAATAAACAGACATGGAAAGAATCAGACAGGAAATTCACAGAAATTACATGCAGTACCTGATCTCGCCTCATGAGCACACGGGCTGTACCCTTCTGCGAGCTCTTTAGAACTTTTACAATGCCAATTCCTCTCTCTTTCCACTCCTTCTCCGTGAAACGGAACAACTTGGCTCTTTCAGAAAACATAATCTCCTCATTTTCCTCACCTGTCAGCACCTCGACCTGCAGAATGTAGTGATTAGATGCCTCCAAATCCATCCGATCCGAAATATTAAGGTTTATTAAAAATGTAATTGTTTTGAGCACATTAGAAAGTAGTATTACGTCACAGCCAATTATACATCATCAGTGGTGGGGTAAGCCAGTGTTTGTAGTGCAAAACTACAACTACTATGAGAACAGCTTGCATGCAGAAATATGGAAACTCACACTAACTTAACTCGACAAGAAGCAAACTGAGCTCAAGAAAAGTGACACATTGAAATAAGAAACTGACCTCAGCTGGAAGGGGGATGAGTGGAACAAAGTCAACACTTGGTTCATGATCAGAAAGTTCACCATCCTGTGACTGGGATGTTGATAGCCTGTACGTCCTAGCAGCTATTGGAAGAAAACATTTTATTAGCTTTTTTAGCTTTCTCCCTGTATACTTGGGTCATATGTGACCGGTTATAGAGAAATGAGTCACTTGAAACAATTTTTCAAATTCCAGATAATCATACGTGATGCTCTGCTTTTTTTATCTTCATATTCGTCCCAAAATTTTGAGAATAGGATAAAACAAAAAAGTTATGGATATTTGAAGTTACTTAATTAACCCTTGACAAATCAGAAGAAATTAGAGAAAATCTAAAGTGTGACCAATGTAGTACGTACGGCGCTTTAGCCAGGCAATTAATCAGGTAAATGCAGAGACAGCGGCGAAGGACACAGAAGACATTAAATACATACTTTAAGAGCACACATAATTCAGCAGGACAGAACGCATTTCAAAATCTTACAAACACATTAACTTCAACAAGTATGCAACGCCTTTTGTTATACGGCCATCATGAAGCAGGCTCGGTGCCTGGTGCCTCTCAAACAGAGTCGCCGGCCAGTCGTTATATCCACTAGTCGCGCCATAAATTAGGAAGTCTAATCGGGTCGCGGCGGACGCGCTTACGGTTTAAAAAGGATGGGTTTTGGGAGAAACGAGACAGACGAAGGAAACCTCTGATCGGTACGTGTACACTGTTTCTTTCCGTGTTAGTAATAAAACTGTAATTGTCACCGTTTATACAACTGTTACGTTCTACTGTCTACGAACCATATATTCCACTCTACAATTTGGTGCCGTGATCAGGATTCGAACCTGGGTTATTGCGGCCACAACGCAAGGTACTAACCACTATACGATGCACGAAAGTTGAGAGAAAACAGTGAAGACAGCTGTAACGATGAAGAAGAAGACTTAAAGAGGAAGAAAGAAGACAGAAAACCTATGACTATTGGACTATTGTGCCGTAGGAAGGAAGTGTTGGCGTTTTCGCCATACGACCAGTGCGTATGGAAGTGCCTACGAACAATGATGTTGCCGCTAAGGCACATATAAGCCGGAACTTATCTTGTACGACCTGGCTATCGACGACGGGAAGAACAGCAGAATACGATCACGACGAAGCGAAAAACAGCAGAATACGATCACGACAACGCAAGGAGGAGAAGGCGGAGGAATGCAGGTTTTGGTAGTGAGATTCAGCCATTCGGCCGATTGCCGGATAACACACGGAACAATGCAGTTTTATGCGGTGACATTCAGAAAATTGATCACTTGCCAGACGACACACATACACGCATACCACGGTTGACTGCGACGCATTAGTACAACATGTCACAGATCACAGCAGCTGATACAGCACCCGAGATATCAGCTGGATAAGGGGCCTACCGCTGGCGAGCAAGCAAGCAAGAGCGCAATGGATGAACGACACTGCAATACGTATTACGGGTGAGTGAAGCAATTTTGTGTCGGCATCTATTTTCAATTTTCTTAATGCTAGCCGCACACTATCCGATTTTGCACTGTGCACAGCACTAAGCCCCCGCACACTATACGACCCGATCCCGATTGATCGGGAGGCCACCGCACACTGTCCGACTCAAAGTTGACGCAAACCATGGCACTCTCGTGGCGTTCCAAGCGGATTTAGCGTGTACTAAGCGTCGGGAGTGTTTCCCAGGTTCGAATGCCATTCCATTCGAATGCGGTTCCCATGGCGCAGCTCTGTGATTGGTCAATTTTCTTCAGCGCTCGTCGATCGGGTCGGATGGCCACGCACACTATCCGAGTAGCGTCGTAAGCCCTCGCACACTATCCGACCCGATCTGCTCCCGATTCAAAATTCGAATTGGGCCAAAATGACCTCCCGAGCCAATCTTAAGCCTCCCGAGCCAATCTTAAGCCTCCCGAGCCAAACTAGAACATCACGATCCAATCGTAAGCCTTCAAATCGCGCTCGGGTCGGATAGTGTGCGGCTAGCTTAAGTAAACTGGAAACTATAGTTTTCAAACTGCATGTTTTATAATACACGAGTGTGTTAGCAAAATACTAAAACACTTTTCCTACCTATAACTCCCCACCACCACCACCTGGCTTACGAGTTTCTAAACTGCATCGTACAATGCCCCCATTCGTACGTAAATACGTAGAATAGTACTAATCTGTGTAGTTAAGAATGCGTCAGGTATATACACATTTACTTGCCGCAGAAGGCAAGGTTGGCTGTTTTAAAGCCATGACGACTTCAATTATAATATAAAAGAGAAAAATAAAGATAAAATATATATTAAAAAATATATATATAATATATAAATACATATATTTATTCTTTAAAATATATAATTTTACTATTTTGTATCAAATATATGTATATTTCACCCAGATTTTTCTGATAGAAAACATTCTAAGCTATCAATTTTAGTTAAAATCACACAAAAACAAAAATTTCATGCCTATATAATAAAAACCACACATAGCGTAAAATCTATATGTGCGACATCCGACTCATTTGGCTATAACGGGTCACATATTATCTCACTTTCTCCTTTCCTCCCTCCCACCCTTCCTCCTCGCGTGCCCGCATGCTTGCCTTTTGGCATTTGTTCTCCCTCTCTCCCTTCACCCCACTAACCGGGACTGGTGATTGTCGTTGGTGACGTGTTCCCTAATGGTACTGTTGCTTGTACAGGAGGCTTATAGTCAGCTGGAAGAGGTATCTGAAAACTGTGTGCTTGCCCATCTCCTAAAAAAATACAATAGATCTAATGATGCAAGGCATATAATGGCCCTGTCACACCTTGACGATTTAGCCAGCGTATGCCGGACGTATCAAAATTTCTCTAAAACGCTGGCATACGCTGAACTATCGATGTTTTTTTAAATTTTGGGCATATACATAGCGTATTCATAACGAGTTGGACGTATACTTAACGTATTAGTAACGTATATAGAACGTTTCGATAACTTATAGATAACTTATATCAAGGAATGCTTATAGTGTGTTGCCGGCGTTCACAACTTATACCCAACGATAGTCTAGCGCGGCAGCGTATCGCCGACGATCACGTGTCGTAGCCTATAAAAAGGCTGCCGCTCGACGATTCAAATCATAACCGCACTAGACATCGCAGTATCAACATCACCGTCACGGTATCAACATGCTAATACCATTTTTATATACCAATTCCCCTAAATGCTGCCAATACGCCATTATACGGTAGCTGTAAGTTAGAAACACGTTCAGTAAGTTCTGTGGTCGTCCGGAACATGTCAAATACGTCTACATACGTCAATATGCGTTGGAGATAAGTTACACACAGGTTCAAAGGACGTTACTCATAGGTTAGAAATAAGTTTTGGGTACGCTAGACATTATCTCGACGTATTTCGACTTATGAGTAACTTACAAGTAACGTGTGTCAACGATCGCATAACTTACCTACAACTTATGGCCCGCGTATGCGGGTCGTATGGGCATACGCTGGCATACGTCGGAAAATTTTGAGCATGCTCAAAAATTTTCGATTACCTCGACGTACTACGACGTATACCAGCGTGCTTCAGCATGCTCTTAACTTATACAAAGCTTACCCATAACTTATTCGCCAGCGTATTCACCAAATTTTTGATACGTCCGGCATACGCTGGCTGGTGTGATAGGGCCATTAGCTATGTGGGAGGATACCTTAGCCAGAGGAGTTAGCTTGATCTAAACATGCATATATGCCTGGCAAGCTTATGAGGGAAGCAAACCAATATAGAATAATTTTTATTGCATGTGCAGGGCTTGAATGTTCATAATGAGTGGTATTCTGTGTTAAGTTTACTTTTTCATTACATGTTTTCACTAATGTAATAATGCAATTTAGTGCACTACGCATGAATATATGAACGTGAGACGTGATTCAATTTACGATTTACTATGCGTAACTCATCCAACTTGAGCTCAAATTGGACACAGTACATTCGCCTAGCATCGTTTCCTCGTATACACCCGCAATCCGGAGATACAGACTAAAACGTACGACACGATTATCCATTCTTTGGCCATCAATCCAAATCCATTGCCCGCCTCTATTCAAACAAAAGGCAGCTACTAACGCGCTATTGCTAACTCGGCGAGGCATCTGGCTCGCTGGGAGATTAGGCATCAACACTCGGCGAGGCATCTGGCTCGCTGGAAGATTAGACATCAACACTCGGCGAGATAACCTTTGACCCGGTACACAGCTACATACGGCGTACAGCAGCCCCCACTGCACACACGCCAACCGCAATCAGCAGCAGCTGATCGGGCTCAAATCTCCCAGCGAGCCACATTGCCCGCCGAGTTAGCAATAGCGCGTTAGTAGCTGCCTTTTGTTTGAATAGAGGCGGACAATGGATTTGGATTGATGGCCAAATAATGGATAATCGTGTCGTACGTTTTAGTCTGTATCTCCGGATTGCTTGTGTAAACGAGGAAACGATTTCGCACGATGCTAGGCGAATGTACTGTGTACGATTTGAGCTCAAGTTGGATGAGTTACGCGTAGTAAATCGTAGGTATTATAAGGCTAGTAAATGACGAATTTCCCTTGTTTATTGATGTCACACTCCTTCCCTATTATCTACTCCTGATATATATATATATATATCAAGCAAATAAGAAAACCTTGACATGCTATCTCACTGATTTACACTATCACGTGGCTGACATGTAACTATTACGCACCGCTTCTGGTTATTGCCGAACTGCTGAGGAGGCTCTTCACACTCAACCCTGCACTAGTGAATGACTGGGATGCAACGTGCTGACTACTCGGCATTGTTGCCTTGGGTAGCTGGACTGCACCCAGGGTCATACATGCAGCCTGTGTCCCCGGCAGTGCAGGCAGATGCGAAACCGGCAGGTCTACCCCAAGAAGGCATGGGTCAGCACTAGAAGCTGCTGGAAGCTGAGAGCTTACAGGCAGTTGCAGAGGTGGAAACTTGAACTCCGGAAGCTGTGTGCCCTCACCGAATGGCAAAGCTGCGACATAGATAATAAACTTAAATCTGATTATTTCTCATACTTTCCCAACCGTACATATACTTAGTGGTATTGCTTGCATACCAGCAAGTGTTTACAGTAAGGCTAAGCATAGTTTAGAACACTCGTACTTCTATATACACCCACTATAATATGCAACGATTGCAATTCCAAGATAAATTCTAATTAATTGTTGATGTCACATGACTTTTGCAAAATTGATACGAAGAACAGATTAGAGACGGGTAAACATACAATGCATTTTTTTATATCTTTTCACTCTTGTCTATGAATATAACCAGAGTACTAGTTTAGAATAGCTTATGTTACCGAATCTCATGCAGTTTTCACAGAATCTGATGCACTTCTATCTACCTGCCAATTACAAATTAATTGTACGGACAACCAAACGTGGCTGTGCTATTAAATCTTCAATGACTGTTTTAAGTACTATAATGGTATATATTCGGAGTGAATTTCGAGTGGGTGTAACTAGTAGAACCTACAAATAGGTAAGAATAATTTATCATGTGAATGACTTCTTGTTCCTGGATATATTTAAAAATTAATTACTTTAAAAAAAAGGGGGCCCTAAACTAAAAGCACAGGCCTTAATGTTACTTCCTTTTGTTATGCACCCATAACAGTGGTTGTTTTGACCATAAAAAAATATTTGATAAATAATTATAATAAGACCCCTCTTTATACTTCTGGGTGGAAATTTTAATTGGAGCAGACAGACGAGTTCAGTATCACTAGATAATAGTGTGGAGATTATTCAGCGTGATGCCTTCGTGTTCAAAAATAGTTCAAACACACTGTCTTTTTTGCTTAAGTGAACCAGTTTCTATAAGATTATAACCAATAAGAATAAATTGTGTACATATCATGATTATGTACATATCAAGTGCAATGTGAACTTGATAGAACAAAGGCATGTGACAGATGTTGTATTCGACATAAAAATAAGTGTGGAGTCCAGTACGACAAGCTCCACTGTCAGACCACTAGGCTGGTCTAAGATCACAAAGAATTACCTGACTTTTTTTCGAAAAATATCCTAAGAAAATTTGGCACACCTGTGCAGCACAAACGCACGCACCACACGTTATAAAGCCTGGCTACAAATAACTGCTTAAGCACGTTGCTAACTACATTACCTAGAAACGAGTAAACCATGCCACATCCTCACAAACATTAACAAACGTTTTTATACTAACCTCCAGTGATGGTGGTACCAGCCGGGTAGTACGGGAATGGCTGAACGCCTCCGTGTATGATGGACGATGATCCAGATGGGTGGGGATAGTACTGGTAGTGAATGGCATTGACTGGTGCCACCGATGGGGGGTAGCCATGGTGATGCATGTTTGAGGCGCCAGGCACTTGAGGAGGGTAAGCTAGTGTTGATGTTCCCTCGATTCCTGACAGCTGCAATGCAAATGATAGCTAAGATGAAGAGTACATAATAGAAATGTTTATAGAGATCTCTATTATGTACTCTTGCTAAGATATGTACAGCAGCTGAAATCAGCTTAAAGATTTCGATGACTTCTAAATAATCGGGCAAAAATTCATAGTCTCGTTTGTGATTCCATTGACAGCTAGGATATGCTAACGGTATGTGAAATATCACTATGAAGTGGAAGATTTTAAGTGTCGTTGATGATGAACAACTATGATATTGAAGCCAATTACCTGCTCTGTAGAGAAGGCTGGGGACAACTACAGACTTGGTTTGCAAAATAAAGACAGGGGCATTTTTGCATGTTTAATAAGTGCCAAGTGCCAAGACCCGCAGAAAGAACCGGCAAGACTATTTGAGCTTTTAGATGAAAGGCAGCATATCAAAAGCATTCGAACATAACATGCATGGTGTACTCTGCCAAAATTAAAATTTTGCCGAATATGTGAAGCAGTGTTGCCTATATAACTAATTACAAATGTGCAGCAGCTTTTGTAACAAGTTATCTTTGCCTTTCCACAGAGCACAAGCATAATCTCCCCCCCCCATCCATTCCTCTTTTTTCCACTGCATCTGCATCTCTCCCTTCTCCCTCCCGCCTGCCAGGTCGACCTCCCTCCTGCTCTGACAGACAGACAGAAACGGATACGTTGAAGTGTGAGGAATACAGATGGAACACACCCTGGGACACGTTAACATTATAATTATTTAATCTACATATAAAAGTATCATAGATAGCACATGAGATAATAAGAGGCATAGCACACGGCGAGACAGACAGACAAGACGTCTCCATCTCTCTCGTATCTCCTTCTCTCTTTCCACCTAACACCTCGAATCATACCTCCCTTTATATGGGAGGTTTCCCTTTTCAACCTCTGTGTGGGCATACTGCTCTCACCCAAATGCAGGCGCCATTCCTGACTAGCTACTATAGATCCGTTGGCCTACTCTGGCTTAAGCTTTATACAGTTTTCACTGGTTGATATAATCATCCTATCCTTGCTAATGATTATTTACTGTTATCATCTTTAAATGTTTATTACCCCTATTTGCTACCTGCCTGAGCTTTATCCCCTATTACGAACATCGCTAACACACTGTCGCATACTAACTGGCCCAATCGTTGCTACTAAGTAATTAATATTCGATCGTCTCTCTTAATTTGTCGTTTACCCCCTATCTTCTACCAACCTGTATTATGTCTTGCAACAACCATCAGCACCTTGACGAACCTATAAAACATTTCTGAATTCTACATTACTTTGTTATTGAATGAACGTGCAAAGCACCTAGCAAGTTCTAAAAACTGAGCTTTGAAATTGAATGCTATTTCTTTCAAGGATCATTGTTTACAACGAATAAGCCAACCTCGAAGTATCCCATGAACATGACCTTACTGTTTGGGGATGGATAACTGAATGCAGGATGTCAAATTAACTCTCGCCAACCAAGGAAACAAACAAATGTGCAAAACGTGGCATGACTAATGATAGCAATATCTACTAGCCCTTATTTCTATGGAATGTTTACACTTACAGCAAATAAATTGAGAATGACCAATATTTTGTGGCAAATAGTAATGAAGTTTGTTTGAAAAACATCTTTGAACACTACATTGTCTATAAGATGAAGGTTAGTGTATCAGATATTGTTATATATAGGCTAGCTATGTTTTTCTCAGTTACAGTATGGAATATTACACACATAAGCATAATAGCTGAGTAGTATATACTAAGCAAGGTTAATAGTGAGTGGTAAAAACATGGTAGCGGCCTTAGTGGGGAGGGCTTTCTTGCGGTCAAACGTTCTGCAAATTGCATTCTATATTTAAAAGTGCATCTAATGTACCAGAACACTTTATAAACCAGGAACTAAAATAACTATATCATGGAAGTGTGGCTCATAAAATCAAATTTAAAATACGAAGCGAACTGTGATGCTAAGGGGTAACTTTTCATTATGCAAAGACTTTCAATCCAAAACATTAAACCAAGTGGCCATGATTGACATGATTGGCACTGTCTTCTAGTTGCCAGGAGTCTGCAATAGGGACAGTGTGTGAGCCTTGCTCCTCCTTAACATCACTAGCATCCTCTGACATGATGTCTGGTCATTTGGCCCTGGGGACTGTGGAATTCCCTGAGAATTGCTTTGCTGGTATAATGACTTGAGGAAATAAAATTGTCAATGACACTGTAGCTCACCTTGGGTGTGATAGAAGAGGGAGGGGAGTATATAAAGCAGGGTTCGAAATTCTAACGGGCCCAAGACCCGTTAAGGCTCGCTAATTTTAAGGCTCGGGCCTGCATTTCTAATACTAGCAAGGCCCAACGGGCCCGTGGAAAATCCACCCAGCATGCACTAGTGATCTCAGCGCCGGATTCAAGAAGAAATGCGTACGCACAATCGTGCGCATAAAATTTATAACACCTCACGCACAACTTTAGTTGGCATTCAAGAACCGTGCGTGGGATGTTCGGACGCACAGGTTAGCACAGGTTCCTGAATCCAGTAGCAGCATTGGCATACCAAAAATCAATAAGAAGTGGGTGGAGCTAACTTTTGGCCAGTGGTAGTATAGTGAACCTTACATTGTGTTGACCAGGGTTTATTTACGTGCACACGCTCATTGCGTCGCTCATTGCGTCGGTCGTGCGGCACAACCTCGTCGGTACGGCAGTATAGCCTCGTCGCATCACTCAGGTTTAACCGTGTCATATTGTTTTTAACGTTTGGAAAAAACTATATACATTTTATACAGCGTGGAGCTAAATAAAAGCTTCCCTACGTTATGACCAAACGTGGTTTATGTAAAACACCTCTCCGTGATGTACGTGCTTCATCAGTTGCCTAGCTTCCTGTCTCCCAATATTCTGTACACCATCTAGCACATCAGGGCAGAATGTTGGCAAAGAAGAATGTCATCTAAATATCGGATTGGTAATCAATGTTGGCTTTTCAAAATCCCAAAGCAGCACGTACAACAACACACCTAGTCCAAGTATGAATTTTATTATCTCGTTGCTCTGCTGCAGTTGGTTACGTACGTGGGTTCGCGTAAGGTATCGTAAAGCAACCATTTATGAAATAGCCACCATCTCCTAATAGCCACCAATCTCCATTCCACCATTCCATCTCCATAGCACCATTCTCAAGATTGTGTTGAGAGCAAAGTTATTTAAAATATACACGGCAACTGTAAAAGAGGCGGAATCAGGCAGAAGATACTAAAGCAGTCAATGCCGTATCCAGCAAGCCACAAACTCAAAAGGTGAGTGTATGGGTGTGTGTTCGTGTGAGGTGATGTGCGTGTGAGGTGAGGTGAGGTGGGGTGTGTGTTCAACTTTCATGTCTGCCAGGAAAAACTCAACCCTATCTTTGCCTGATTTGGCTGGTTCCTTAGATGTTTACATTACTCATCCTTTCCATTTGCTTGCCATGAAATCAACTAACCGACGCTACGGAGCGTTGTTTTTCTCTGCCCTATATGTCCCAAACATTAGCTTTATCAGTCAAGATGTATGATCCACACATTAAATGATCAGTGTGTGTGTGTGTGTGAACGCGTGCGCGTGTATGATGATGATGGAGACGTACCTAAATGCCTGTTAGTGCGTACGAACGTAAACCATTGTAAAAATGTCAAATTTCAGTCTTTTATTTTTTTTTGAATGCTTCGGTATCGAGGGAATGATGCGGGCCTGTAATTTGCCTGGCGGGCCTGTAAAATCCTTTACCTACAGGCCCGGCGGGCCTGTAAATTTTCAAACTACTTTCTACCTCTGTAAAGCAAGAGTATATATGGGAGAACTCACATTATATACTCTTGATAATGATATATGCATAAGTTTTGATGCAAAAATAAATGTATCAGATCTGAAAGTCTGAAATCTTGACGAGAAATGGTGCTACGCCTAAATGATCGCCATTTTGGTTTTCAAATATCGCGTAAATAAAAACAATAAAATATTCCGTCAAATTACTGTAACGACGAATCAAAAACACAATATTACACGTATATAGGTATGATTGTAGAGTTGTTGACCAGTTTGACAAAATAAATGTAATAGGACGTTGTCATCTCTCCCATAGGAGTAACAACTGTTTTGGGGCTAGCCTTACACATTCACATACCAAAATTTAACAAAATGGAATGAATCTAGATGACGATGACCATTTACATTTTTGCCAAAAAGTGGGCGTGGCTCGAAAGTAGGTCGACTGGCGTGCTCCAAAATAGGAAGTTCAAATCTCTCCCATAGGAGTAACAACTGTATTTAATTTGAAACATGTGGGTCAAACGGTTCTTGAGTTATCGTTGACCGTAGGCAGAACCTGAAATGCATAGTAAAATTGCCAAAATCTACCTAATTTGCATAATTTAAAAAAAATATAAAAACCCTTGTGATATGTTTTGGGGCCAGTCCTTATTCATTCACATACTAGAAATGAGCAAAATCCGTTGAACCCGAACTGACTTATGGCCATTTCCATTTTTGCCAAAAAGTGGACGTGGCTCGAATGTAGGTCAACTGGCGTGCTCCAAAATAGGACGTTCAAACCTCTCCCATAGGAGTAACTATATGCAATTTGAAACATGTGGGTCAAACGGTTTTTGAGTTATCGTTGACCGTAGCCAAATGTTGACGGACGGACAAACGGACGGACGACGGACGGCACCCCATGGCAATAGCTCATCTTGACGATGTAAATGCGAGCTAAAAATTTGCTATAGTTACCCCACTTCATACTGCCAGTATAGGAACTGTGCATTGCAATCGTCCATGGCATCACATGTTGTCAGAATATATTTACATATATTCTGAAGCAATATAGTCAAAATGATTGCAGCAGGAAACATCTATAATGGTTTTACAATACACCATTACAATGCCAGTTGCATGAGATGACAAGTGTTTGAATAGTTAGCCATGATAATTACAGTGAAATGGTTGAGGGTGGAGAAATGTAAGCAACATCAAATACTCGAGCGACCATCATTTGTCACCACGACTTATTGCTAAAAGTTTACGTTTTGCAGTATGTGATATTTGCACACTCAATTTTTAAACCACTCCTGTGGTAGCAATTGCACAAAAGTAGGCAATTCAGTACAGATTGGAATGCAGTGTCTATGGATTTGCATATTGCATATGCGAGCAGGACTAGGTGCTCTGTATAGGTGTGTATATTGTGAGTTAACTTACCTGTGTGTAGGGATAGGGTGCATGTATCGGGTACTGTCCCATCACATATTGTGGAGGCAGTGGTGCAGGGTTCTCCTCAAAGGATCGTTCTTCATAGTACTTATCATAGTCACCTTCGAATTCATCACCTATGCAGCAAACATAAGTCCAACAGATTGTTACGCAGTCATACTATATTTTTACAGCTGTAATAAAATCATTTAAATGCTGCCTTAAAACAAGGAAATAAATGAACTAGACCTCAACAACACTGCAATATTTACCGTCATAGTAGTAGTTGTAGGAACTAGAGACTTCTTCATCACTATCACCTTGGTCAGGTCTCTCTGCAACATGCGCAGGTGTAGCCATGGGTGACGCTGGTTTGTAGTCAGCAAAGCGGCCCTGTTGGTGGGCATCCATAGGGCGTGTGAGAGGTGCTGACAGAGTTTTCCGTCCACGTTCGTGAGGTCGTTCAGCACTGCGTAGCTCCAACTTCTCGATCTGTGACTGCATAGATGAACAAACCAGGCAGGTCAACATGGCATTAATGCACAGTCAATGATACAAGAAGCCAGTTACAACATAGTGAGACAGTTACCCACACTGTAACAAGCTAATAGTAAGACATCATTAGGCAAAGACATAGACGGCTACCAAAAAAACATGAATTTTAATTTACTAGCTGGATCAACAGTTTGCAATATCAACGATGAATGATAATTTTCAATATCATGTAATGCACAGATGCATAAGCTTTCTACAGCTGCCTGGTATCAGGGCAAGTATCCCCTGGATAATTACCCCCTCCACCCCGCCATCGTACATTCACCCACTGGCGAACTACCACAGGTTAATACAACACATGGTTCACTACACCAAATTGTTAAAAAAAATTGATTTTACATTTTCCACGCAAGCTTTTTACAAGGAATTACATTCTAGACATACTCAAAAAAATAACTGCTCAAACCTTTAGCTTCTCAACAATGGCCCTCTGGTTTCTCAGCTCTTCTACGATCGCCATACTTGATTCTTGCAGTGACTTGTATTGATTAGTGATGTTCTGTACAAAGGTATCCTGTGAGTAGGACATCGCACGTAATTGGGCAGCTAGTCGTTCAGGACTTGGTGGTTCAACGTGCTCCTAATTGAAAATGATTAATAGTATCTTAGAATATAACAATATCAAAACATTGAAAGTAAATGATCGACTGGATTAAGCAATCATCACGCACAGTACTTCTGGTGAAGCAGCTGCTGTTAACAATAGGAATGATTTTATATCCAATAGCAATTGAAATTAGCTCTGCAGATCACCTGTGCTAATTTTAGTGTTTCTGCAGTTGCTACTGCTTCTCCTATATACCCATTCACTTTGCTGAATAGCAAAATTATAGCTAAGCTTAATGCCAGCTTGAACCCCATGAATCCTTTTTGACAGCAATAAGATCTAGGTTATAAAATTTCTCACCGTGGTTTTCAGATCCCTCCCATGCCTACCCATAATCTGTTTTGCAACATTTTTAGCATTGCTACTTTTACTAGACAGTAGACTACTACCATTACTCCATTGATGATGTATATTTGCTTTGCAACTGGCAAGTAGCCCTGCTACTGCTATTGAGTTTTACACAGGGAAGACATCATTTATCTGCACGGTGTGCTTGCAGTGATGATGAATAGAAGGGGTATTAGAGCATTTGTCACAAGGCTCTGTTTCTATCCTTAGCTAATTGCAACTTGCATGAAAAATAGAGACAGGGTAGCAGTCTATACACACTCGGGTTACAGAATCATATGTACTTGTGTTAGAATCAGATGCACTTATGTATGTGACACCATTTATAAAGAAATTGTTGCAACACTGATGAAAGTGGCTGCTACATATACTACTTTATAGACCATATGAGCATAAATCCATAGGAATTTTCAAGCTTATCTAATAAGTACCCCATCTGCTTATTGATGAGACAATATATTATTACAACATATTTTTCCTTGTACTTGTGAAATGAATAATATAGAACCCATTTCCTTAGCTTCAATTTAAAGGTCGCTAAACACGTGCTGGGACACATGTGCGTGCACCACTTCTAGTGCCCGTTTTGTTCTAGGAATTGTACTGCTTAGAGTGCTTCAAAACGTAGGTATGTCCGAATCTATAAAATGGAATATCTGTAAAATATGTAAAAGCCAGAAATTTACTTCATCAGATAAAAAAAACTAAATTTAGTTACAGTTTTTGTAACGTTTCTTATGTGGAATTTTCCATGACTGCCTATTCATCTGCTCTGTCGATACTGTATATGCTGTAAATTTGCTATTGAATTATATTGGTCTTGAGTTATCACGGAAAATAATGAAGAAGGTTATTTGTGATTATTTTGTTTTTTATGTATATATTGCAATCGTAAACCACATGCAGAATTATTGTTTTAGTTGCATTGGCAACAGAAACTCTGGACAATCTAAATTCGTTAAATGCAGTCCTTTCGTGTACTGAAGTAAAATGGGTAGATTTTCATTGCTGTAGTATGTCCTATCCTGATATCATAATCTAACATAAAAAACAGGTGACGCTGCCATGATAAAAGCTCTTCTAACGAAGACTATGTTAAAAAGGTACTAAGCAACGGTGTAGACATAACAACAGCCATGCAAACGGACCTAAATATTAACTAAAGTATGTGATATGAAATGGAATACAGTAAAAACCCGCGTATAAGAACATAGATTTTAAGAACATGTTAGGCTAAAATTTCCCATTTAGACCCCTTTACATAAGAACCTGTTTTAGGCTAAGATTTTAAAGTAGGTTCTTAATTTTCCATGCAGATGAAGACTTAAAAAGAAACACAGGTAAAATAAACAAGAGCCGCAGAGCGTCTGGGCTCATCTGAGGTCTGTTGCTATGATTATAAATGTAAAATTTCATCGTGCGTAGTACCACATTTGTTAGGCGCAGATATGCAGACACGCAGTTGCTACACATCATTGTTAGGACACGCCCACTATCGCAGATGGAGGGTAGGGGGAGGGTGGGGGGGGGTGGTGGAGGGTGGGGAAGGGGGTGTGGGAGGGGAAGGGAGGGTGGGGGAGGGGGCTCTAATAGCAAAAGCAGTTCACTCCTTTGTTAACAGTCAACAAATCCATGTTTAACCCTCCTCTTGAGGGTCAAAAGGTTATCGCACACTTACTCTTCGCATGTCAGCAGAAGGGACATTTCATGTCTCCTTTCAATAAAGCCATAAAATGGTAGGTCACCGCTGAAACAAAAAAGTTTTTCATCGCGCTCCGTCAGACCATGTCCTCAGAAAAATGTCTAAAATCTGCCCTGTGCCCATTGACCTTTGACCTCTGACCTCCAATTTCGGCACAGTGATGGCTTTTCCTCCATTGATGCTTACACCGCACTATCACGAGCCTAGGTCCAGCCGTTTAGATTTGTGCCGCAATTTTGCATTTCCTCCCTATACCTAAGTTAAGGAGTGAATGTTCCCCCTTCTTTTACACCTCTTGACCTTTGACCTTTGACCCCAGCTTCGACATCCCAACTCGTTTTGACGATCCCCCCCAACGACCCGAATATCGTGACCGTACGTCGAGCGGTTAAGATTTGTGCCCAACTGTTGACGGACGACCGGACGACCGGACGACCGGACGGACGGACGGACGGACGGACGGACGATCAAGCGATTCTACAAGCTGCATCTGACTATGTCAGATGAGCTAAAAAGACGAGCTCAACAATATCGATGCAATAACAATGCCAATGTCAATGCCAATGCCAATGCTCAACAATAACAATCATATCTATAATATTATATTATATATATCATATAATATTATCTCAATCATAAAAAAACAAACATGTGCAACAACTAAACTCTCCATACAACACCTTACACATAACACTACTGTACTGGTAACACATGCATCACAGTCACTAAGCCCTGTATGACATCCTCAAAACCTGGAAATCTATATCTGAAGGCATTAGTTGATCTATTATTAATTATGTAAAAGGTCGAACAAAAGTGGCGTTGTACACCCAACTTGCGCTCATAGGGTATATGTCCCCCAGGGTACTGCCGGAACGTACCCTGGGTACGGTTCGGTATACCGGAACATACCCTGGTAACTATTTGATATGGTTAGGGTTAGGGTTAGGATTAGGGTTAGGGTTAGGATTAGGGAGTAGGCGTAGGCGACTCCCTAGACTCGTTAGTGGAGTAGGCAAGGTACAGTCCGGCATATTAGATAGTACCAGGGTACGTTCCGGCAGTACCCTGGGGGACATAGACCATCTCAGCCCAACTTGCACTCAGTTTACTTTGAATGTATATATCGTTTTATCATGGCTGTAAGCATTATGATTATACTTGTGTTCCCCAGAAATCTATCAATGTGTCTCATTGAAGTAGCGTTGTATGCTGGCATTCTGTGCAAAAATACTCTAATCAGATACTTAACACAAAATCTGTCACCAGTTCCGGTATTCACTGAAGGAAAAAAATGTTACAATTGTGGGTGAAGTAAAATTTACACATTGCTCCAAAATCGATTACCGAAAAGGTTTCATTAAGAGAACATTTTCTGAATGCTACTTCATTGTGAACTGTTACTTTAACAAGTGCCGCGGAGCGACAGCGCTCATCTAACGTCTACTGCGGTGACTCTGTGGTGGAGTGGTGGGATTCTAGTAAACCCTGTTAGTCGCAAATGTGTTTCACATACATGCCGAAACAGTGGAAGCACAAAGATGGTATCAGGAACCTTCTCAAAGGAATGTTCGTTGGGATCGTTATGAAAGTTGCCACGAGATGGCGCGTACGTTTAAGTGTCTTAAGGTTAAAGATGGAAGCTCCCATCGTACGTAGTAGCAACAACTATTTGCAAGACAGAATAGGTAAGCACTCATCCATTTACCTATGCAAGCCTACAGGCTTAAATAGAGAGCTGCCACCTGTAATTAATTAACGCAGGCAAAAACTACACAGTAATATCACCACCACATGCACTGGCAGTGGCCAGAAGAAGAGAATTAGATCATTAAAAACATATAGTCGAGAGCTATTTAGAGAAAAGTTAAAAGAGAAGCAATGGTATACAAATTTTAACATGGATTATATAGAGCATGCATGGGAATTTTTTTCAAAAATACCTCCTAGAGGCCATTGACACTGTCGCCCCTATTAAACAAGTTAGAATAAAACAAAGAACTGAGCCATGGTTTGATAGTGAGATTAGGGAGCTTATTCTGGAAAGAGAAAATTACTGCTTCATAAGAGGAGTAAAGATGAAATTACATACAAGGATTTTAAATTGCTTAGAAACAAAGTTCAAAATAAAATTAAGAAAGCAAAGGCTAATTACTATATGGAAAAGGTTGAGGACCACAAAAATAACCCTAACAAAATTATGGCAGACTTTAAAGACTATGAGGTTGAAAAATAACGGTACCAGTACCTTGGACGCGGTAGGGCTAAAAATTGGAGAAAATATATGTTTTGACAAAGCAATTGTTGCAAATAATTTTAATAAGTGTGGCCTCAAACTTGGTGAACGATCTACCACAAAAGGAAGGGACGTATGATGAAATTAGTCTTCAAAATTATTACAGGGACAAAGGCGTAGTAGAAAATTCATTTACTTTTACAACGGTGGGAGAGGAAGAGGTTCCTACGGGTGCTGAAAAACATTAATACAGGTAAGGCTATTGGGTTAGATAATATTCCGGCAAAATTTATAAAAGATGGATCAAACGTTATTTGCTCAGCTCTTACACATGTAATCAACATGTCATTCATGCAAGGAAAAATCCCTGATGGCATGAAGGCAGCAAGGGTCATTCCGATACATAAAAAGAATAGCAAAACAGAACCCGGAAACTATAGGCCTGTGTCAATTTTAAGTGTCATGTCCAAAGTTTTGGAGCGAATAGCCTTTAACCAAGTAGAGAAATATTTAATAGAAAATTCCTTACTGTACGAGTTCCAATCTAGCTTTAGATCAAATTTCCCAACTGACACAAGTTTAATCCATCTAACTGATATTATTCGTAATGAGTCGGACAAAGAAAATCTAACTGGTATGGTTTTATTAGATCTTCAAAAGGCTTTTGATACCGTTGACCATAAAATTCTACTAGCCAAGCTAAAAACTATCGGAATGGATATTAGGACTGTGAAATGGTTCGATGCTTATCTCTCTGGTAGAAGTCAAATAACTGATGTAGGAGGTACCTTGTCTAATAAGGACCCTATTGCATGTGGAGTACCACAAGGCTCAATTGTGGGTCCTCTGTTATTTCTGATTTATGTTAATGACATAGCAAAGGCAGTTAACGTCAAGCTTTTATTATATGCTGATGATTCGGCCTTAGTAGTTTCAGGGACAGAGGTACAGGCTATACAGAAAGAATTAAGTAAAGAATTGCATTCCATTAATAAATGGCTCAATGATAATAATTTATCCTTGCATCTTGGAACAAGAGCCGCAGAGCGTCTGGGCTCATCTGGGGTCTGTTGCTACGGTTATGAACGTACAATTTCAGTCGTGCGTAGTGACACATTTGTTAGGCGCAGATATGCAGATACGCAGTTGCGTACACATCATTGTTAGGACACGCTCACTATCTCCCCCCATGCGATTTTGGTTTATTTTATTAAATGATGCTTGCCTTCCACTTCGAATTTGTGTCATAGATTCACAGCTATCTATTTTTATCTATCTATAAAAGATTTCAACATATGAGCATGGATCTCCAAGTATAATTAGAGGGGGCGGGGAGTCCTTCTCCTCACCTCCCTCCCCACTGCATCCCACCTCCCTCCCCCTGCCTCCCACTTCACTCCCCTTGCCTCTCACTTCCACCCCCTTACCTCCCATCTCCCTCCCCCTGCCTCCCACTTCCCTCCCCTTGCCTCTCACTTCCTCCCCCTTACCTCCCATCTCCCTCCCCCTGCCTCCCACTTCCCTCCCCTTGCCTCTCACTTCCTCCCCCTTACCTCCCATCTCCCTCCCCCTGCCTCCC